TGTTGTTGTTGTTGTTGTTGTTGTTGTTGTTGTTGTTGTTGTTGTTGTTGTTGATGATGGTAGTTGTTGTTGTCAAAAATTCGTGGCGCAACTTTTCTTCAAATATATCTTTACCAGGTAGGCCTATATCAATGTCATCCATACTTTGCTCAGCAATTTGTACCAGTTTGTCTAAATTGATTAATATTTTTCCCACAACATTTTAGGCTAGTTTTAAAAACTTTTCTTCATAAATCTATGTAAAATACTGTAAGTCTCCGCTACGCAGAAAAAAGGAATACATGTATTCACAGCACTTCACGCTTCTCACACACGTTCTACGCACATATGGCTTACGTCACAGCTCATCAGTGACACCTTTCAGTGGCAAAGCTAGTTATAAGAATTTTATCTTATAGAGAACACTTTTTTGCACTAAAGGTTCTCATAACATGCGTGCAATAAGCATAATGTGGCGATTAGAAACACATGACAGACTTGCTCTTAAAGGCGAAATTGCCCCAGCTGTAAAACTTTTTAAATCTGTAGAAACCGCCCACTTTGATTTTTTAGTAGTGTTTATTAAAGCATTTTCTAGAATACTGCTAATAGGTGTTTATAAACATTTTGATCTCTTAAGACAAATTGATACAAGTCACTGTGCAAAAGCTGGAGAGTCTATGCTTGATAGTTTTTAAAAAATATTTGATAATAACTTGCGCCACGAATTTTTGACCGCACTATAGAATGCTTCTCTGTGGGGTGCTGTTCCATTCTGCGACCAAAGCAATAGGAAATTGGTGCACATTGATGACCCGCCGGTCGGTGTACACTCCTTCCACCAGTTTGACTTACGCAGAATCTAGACTCCTCGTTGTTAATGGAGTTGAGTATACTAGGACATGGGAGAGCGAGCCTAGCTCCACACAGACCCAGCTGGAGAGCAGCAGTCACAGTAGATAGGGGAACCCTATGAGGCTTCTCCAACAAGTAAGAAATGCTGAAACCAAGAGGGGGACTCTCGTGGCCTAGAGGTTAAGGTGTTGGCCTCTCATTCAAAGGTCCCGGGTTCGATTCCGGGTAGCGACCAAAAAATTTTCTTCTCTAAAATTGTCTCATTTCACATCCTTTCCTGATCTCTAACAATCTTCTGTTGTCTGCTTTCACTTCCACTTTCTGCCCCCACCCCCTCACCTCCTTTGCCCCCTCCTCTAGGCTCCTGACTCTTTCTGCAGCCTTTCTACTGCTACTCCTTGGCTCCTCCTAACTGCTGTCTTTGTGCCACACCCCTGATCTTCTGGTAGGAAAGATCTACTCCTAGCCTTCTCGGACAAGGGCGAAAAATCTCGGAGGGCCCATGTGCAAGTTGCGCACGTTAAAGATCCCTTGGTGGTCTAAAATCGATAAGAGTAGGCTTCGGCCGCCACCCGGGCAAAATTCAAAATTTCCTACCAACGAAAAAGTATTAGGTGTGTCCCGCGCGCTCATATGACCTTATGCAGTTGCGAGCGCCGTAAAACCCTATACTAAACAAACAAACAAACAAACAACGAAACCAAGAGAGAAGTCCGCAAGCTGCGCACATCCACAAATGAAACTGGAGCTTTTAAATGTTCAAAATGTGGCAAACTTTTCTGTACCAGAATTGGTCTCATCGGCCACAGCAGAAACCACAAGTCATCTGAACCTGTGTTTGTTAACTCTACAACGACTGAAGTTGTCTCTGGGCCATTCCCAAAGGGGGGATAGTAACATGTTCCTCTGCACAGTACAATTGTCAATGGGCTGATTTATCAATGTCATGCTCATACTGTGCCGGAACAACATAGGGGGAACTGCTGCTGTTTCTTTCCTCATCCTTACTGTCGTCATTTTCCTCTACGTCTTCTGTATGTTTGTCCCCAGGGTTGGGTTGATTTAAATCACTTTTTAAAAAAATAATTTTTATTCGGTTTTTACACATTTCAACATTCAGAATTCCTTTCCTTGGTTTCATAAAACAGATATAAGGTTCAGTAGACTAATATAATCATGCTTAAAAGTCTGATTTCCCCCCTTTCACTGTAAAATAATACAGTATTCAATTTACTTTTTTTTCCCATAATTGAAACCAGAGCTGGGTTGATTTAAATCAGTTGATTAAAATTTTTTAAAAATCAATTTGATTTTAAAAATAAAAATCAGTGATTTAAATCCCTTTTCAAAAAATGTATTCAGTTTTTACATATTTATACTTTCAGAATTCCATTCCTTGGTTTTATTTTAAACGGATATAAGGTTTAGTAGACTAATATAATCATGCTTAAAAGTCTGCTTTCCCCCCTGTCACTGTAAAATAATACAGTTCTCAATTTACTTTTTTTTCATAATTGAAAACAAGGGTTGGGTTGATTTAAATAGGGTCGATTTAAATCAGTTGATTTTTAAAAATTTAAATCAGCTTGATTTTAAAAATAAAATTCAGTGATTTAAATCACTTTAAAAAAATGTTTTCTGTTTTTACATCTTTAAACATTCAGAATTCCTTTCCTTGGTTTTATAAAACAGATATAAGGTTTAGTAGACAAAATTACTTAAAAGTCTGCTGTAAGTAGTAAAATAATACAGTATCAATTTACTTTTTTTCATAATTGTAATTAGCATTTTCTTTTTCTTTTTAGACAAACACAAGCGCGTGCTCACACACACACTGTAATAAAAATAAAATGAAAGTTTATCTATGCATAATTACCCCCCCCCCCCTTCCTTTTAGACTGACATTTTCTTCATTTTTTGTCTGTAGCCATAATTCGCTGATAGCAGATTAAGGCTTTCTAAAATTGCAGTTGTTTAAATTGATCATTAGTTAAAATAAAGACAATGCATTTTGCACTAAAAGAACTTACTTTTAGCCACCAAAAATCCCAAACTGTGTCGACACTTTTTAAAAAATCAAAAAAATCAAAAAAATCCGATTTAAATAAAAAAAAATCTGATTTAAATTTTAAAAAATCGATTTTTTATATTTTTTTCAAAAAAATCAAAAAAATCACCAACCCTGTTTGTCACTCTCTTGTGAACTGCTATTTCCGGGTTCCCTTGATAGTCAAAGCAGACTTTGTGCTGTTGAGGCTAGAGAGGTGAGCAGAGTAAGCCTGGATCCCCGTTTGTACTTCTCTGTTGACATCCACCCCTTGGCGCTCATATGACCTTATGCAGTTGTGAGCGCCATAAAAACTCTACTAAAACATCCACCCCTTGGCGCTCATATGACCTTATGCAGTTGCGAGCGCCGTAAAACCTCTACTAAAACATCCATCCCTTGGCGCTCATATGACCTTATGCAGTTGCGAGCGCCGTAAAACCTCTACTAAAACATCCATCCCTTGGCGCTCATATGACCTTATGCAGTTGCGAGCGCCGTAAAACCTCTACTAAAACATCCATCCCTTGGCGCTCATATGACCTTATGCAGTTGCGAGCGCCGTAAAACCTCTACTAAAACATCCATCCCTTGGCGCTCATATGACCTTATGCAGTTGCGAGCGCCGTAAAACCTCTACTAAAACATCCATCCCTTGGCGCTCATATGACCTTATGCAGTTGCGAGCGCCGTAAAACCTCTACTAAAACATCCATCCCTTGGCGCTCATATGACCTTATGCAGTTGCGAGCGCCGTAAAACCTCTACTAAAACAAAACCAACCACAAGGACGGAGCTGACAACAGACGTCCGATCAACGACAGAACACAGACAAAGTTACGGTGGCTCGTGCACAACTATCATGCACCAACCACAACCAGTTTACATAAAATGTTTCATAGTATGTCTGTTGTTAAATAAAATGTTTCATGGTATGTCTGTTTTTAAATAAAATGTTTCAAGGTATGTCTGTTGTTAAATAAAATGTTTCATAGTATGCCTATTGTTTAATTAAAATGTTTCATGGTATGCCTGTTGTTAAATAAAATGTTTCATAGTATGTCTCTTGTTTAATTAAAATGTTTCATAGTATGCCTATTGTTTAATTAAAATGTTTCATGGTATGCCTGTTGTTAAATAAAATGTTTCATAGTATGTCTTTTGTTTAATTAAAATGTTTCATAGTATGCCTATCGTTTAATTAAAATGTTTCATGGTATGCCTGTTGTTAAATAAAATGTTTCATAGTATGTCTCTTGTTTAATTAAAATGTTTCATAGTATGCCTATTGTTTAATTAAAATGTTTCATGGTATGCCTGTTGTTAAATAAAATGTTTCATAGTTTGTCTCTTGTTTAATTAAAATGTTTCATAGTATGCCTATTGTTTGATTAAAATGTTTCATAGTAGGCCTATGTCTGTTGTTAAATAAAATGTTTCATAGTATGTTGTCTGTTGTTGCACGCTAAAAAAGTTTCAGATAAAGAAAATAAAATCGACCCCCCCCCAAAGCCTGCTTGAATAATGAAGATTTATACAGAAATCTGTTATCACGAATCTAGTACAGCACTTTATTTCACATCATCTGACGCCTCTGGATGAGATGACATTCTTGCTTCAAACAGGACCCACAGAATATCCTTGCACTCTGAACTATTTCAATCTTCCTTACCATGTTTTCTCTTCTCTTAATCTGAGACTTTCGCGGAGACTAGTATTTTAACAAATTGCACACTATATAATTCTGATATATCTCTACACCTCTAAAGGTCTGTGATAAATTCCTGCATGTGGTTGAGAGACGCATCTGATGTGATATATGTGCATTATTGCCATTTTTTAGTTTTCCTATAATACTGAATTTTTATGAGAGTTATAGCCGACATAATTGAAAACTATGGATATCTTGCTATTATGTTTTTACAGTTCTTGTAAAGCCAAGAAACAATTCCCTCTGAGACAATACAGTATCATCTTAACTTATCTTATCTTATCTTATCTTATCGTATCTTACCTTATCGTATCTTATCTTATCTTATCGTATCTTATCTTATCTTATCTTATCTTATCTTATCTTATCGTATCTTATCTTATCTTATCTTATCGTATCTTATCTTATCTTATCTTATCGTATCATATCGTATCTTATCTTATCTTATCGTATCATATCGTATCTTATCTTATCTTATCTTGTCTTAAAAAGGCATACACAACGACCTCATCCTTAGTGTGTGGCGGTTTGAAATGTGGCGCAGCGTTGCCGTTGGTTTTTTTGATCAGACAAATCGCGACTACAGAGTTACAACCTTCTATCTGCCACGTACCTAGTTTTGAGAAATTTGACGTCAAACATTTTGAAATTCACAACATGTCAAGCTTTTCCGAAAGCAATTCTTTGAATATCTCGATCTAGATGACGACCCCGAATGACCTAAAACGACCTCGATGGAGCAGATAGAACATTGTGGTTTCTGACGCCATTGTCTTTGTAACTCAAACGGCCAACAAGTCAGATAGAACATTGTAGATCTGAGGTAGCGATATAAACCAGCTACGGTCTTGCAGAGTTCAACCTCAAAGTTAACCCCCCCCCCACCTAACTCAACAAAACAACTGACTAGTACAGAAGTTTCAAGTTGTGTAGATGCTACTTACTTACAGTAACAGTAAAGAAGTATCAAATTCTGTAAATGTGTGCGGCTCTGAGAAAACGTCCGAAGAGAATAACTTATGAGATGTCGCTAAAAATAGGCCCTGAACTTTATTTTCATCGGAAAATGAAGTTGTATGTAATTCAGAAAGATAAACCATTTCTACATCATATGTTCAAAAGAATTTGCTCAAAAATGATTTAAAATATTTTAAAACAATTTTTTTGAGGACATATCGCCGCCGTATTACGCTGAATTCTTAGACAAAGAGGGGGAATATTTACTCAATCGGATAGACACTTCTTTTCAAGGGAACCCCCACATATTATATAGGCCTACCAAAAGATAGGCTAGAGCGTTTCAGGAAAACCCAGTGCGCGTGAATATGAGAGCATCACAAATAGTTCTGAGAGTTGCGCATGTTGAAGTTTCTCTTCTGAAATGGTATTTGTCATGAGTGCCTTTTAACTTCTTATGTACCCTTTCCTGCCGCTCAAACCAACTGTTCCTTATTGACTTCAAGTTCTTTGATCTGCCCTACAAAGTGCTTTTTTCCCGAGTTTACAGAAAGTAAACGGATTGTTTCAAGTGGTGCTATTGTTTACATAATTTTGACGATTCAAGATAGCGGACCGATCTGCTGAGGGGCGTATTTCATTGGGAAGCTGAACGATCTCGGTCGGATTGGAATGAGACAAATGACAGACGAAAATGAATTGAATGAACTGATTATTGACTATTTCGATGCAAGACCTATTGATTCTGGAGACGGTAGTTGGGAGGAGGAGACACATGATGAACCAATGACGACGACGGCAGTGGCCGTGACACACCCACACCCACACCCCCCGGCGATTGTGTAGATTTCCGCGTTAAATTCCGATACTAGTTTTAATCGGCCTATAAGCTCTAGAACTTACCATTAAACAGAGTCAATCCAAAAATGAAATCCAATACAGAATATTGCCAAAAATGTTTTCCTTAAATGTTGCTTCCACATATATATTCTTGTAAATATGAATAAAAGAGTTTGTCAGATGTCCCGTATAGTATCGGAATTTAACGCGGAAATCTACACAATCGCCCACCCCCCTGCCCCCTTCTCATGATATCGAACTTCATGAAGAAGTCCTGGTTCCTGTTCAACCAGTTGACGTAACATCATCAGAAGGTAAGCAAGGTTTACCAAACCCGTTGTCCCAGATTCTATACTAGTCCTTATAATTATCAGCTAGATTGAAGAACTGTATTCATCTAGAATCTAGATTCTATCATACCTCTAGCAGTGTATTTGGAGCTAGATCTAGATCTAGATCTAGCCCAGAAGATAGATCTATCACTATCGGTAGCTTAAAACTCGTGGTAGGAGACCAAGTCTGTCAACATTATAATTATATAGACTTAGATCTAGATCTAGATCAAGATTCTAGTACTCTCTAGACTAGACTAGCTAGACACTTGACTAGATCTAGACTTATGACTCTTCTACTTCTAGATCTGGACTACTGACATGACACTTAACTTTAGCGAAGTGACTATTTCTCCGAACGTTCGGAGAAATAGTGCCGATCTTTATTTCTCCGAACGGTTTTCGGCTTCCGGTCTCGTGATTTTTTGCCTATTTATTGCGAGAGTTCGGCGCCAACTTTCATTCTGCCTCTGGTCTGGGAAGGAACACGTACCGCATGGCAAGCCCGCCTACAGACAACCTTCAGTAACACCCACCACACACCCACCACCATCATGCACATGTACACACACTAACTAAACATAACTAGTGGGCAACTTTTGAACGTATGACGAGCTGAACTGTGGATGGAGAGACAGTGTGAGTGAAAGAGCGGGTGAAAGGAAGAATGTGCGAGTGTATCCACAGGCGACAGCAACTAAAAGACGACGACACTGACCACCCCTGGCCTGGTCCACAGCTCACGAACAAAAGGAATGCAGCTCAGGCGGTGTTTTGCCTATATTATTGTCCATGGTTCGCAGGGAACAAGTGAGATTTTCTTTGTGTGTGCCTGGAGGGATGGGGTGGGGTATGAAAGTCATGCGGACGGGGATGAGCCGCGGGAGAGAACACGGGAATTGAATGAAAGAGTGAAACTGAAAGAGACGAATGACTCATGAGTCCTGGAGTGAATGGATCCTGTGTTTCTATTTTTGTATACTTTGAACTGTTACTGAATAAAGGCTGAAATAAAGCCCGAAAAACAAACAAACACACACACACACACACTCCTCACTCTCCACTTACTACCACACACAGACACACTCAAACACTCAGACATACATACACACACACACACACACACACACACACACACACACACACACACACACACAGGAGCAAATTTTTGGGTCTATATCTATTTAAATTTTCAACAGCTAGTCTAGATGAGATTTTTAGATGAGTGTAAAAACGTGAAAAAGAAAGGTTTCATAACAGAAAGAAATCAAAATTAGAACAGCCCATAAACGACAACAAACATTAACAAATAAGGGCGTGTGTCCACCTGTCCGAAGAAGATTGGCAGTTTTAACCCTAAATGTGCGTAATTTAAAAAAAAGTACAGGATATTACATGTAAATTATGGAATCACACACATTAAGGGGCTTGCCAGTGTCAGTACATTGGTCGCAGCAGTGACAAACGTAGATGCCAGTTCTATGTGTCGTTATCAATAACCCTCCGTAGATCTAGATCTAGACAGCACACGAGTGAACACAACACATTACGTTTAAAAGCAGCACCTTTCATAGGCAACACGTCATATCTATAGCGAAAAACTGTTTGGAATTGTAGCATTTCTTTATATAAATATTTACGGCGGACATTTTTTGGACCGATTGAACCATATTGTATACGAACAATCTTTGGTAGGCCCATACTATAATTATAGATCTATATAATATCCGAAATTTGGGGGAAAGGATGATATTTCAGAGTGTTCGGAGAAATAGTGCCCAGCTTTATTTTCCTGAACGTTCGGAGAAATAGTGCCCAGCTTTATTTTCCCGAACGTTCGGAGAAATAGTGCCGGCCTTAGGCCTAACTTTAGACCTTATAAGACTCTTGATTGAAAGTTACACGGGCATACGGTACAGCTGTTGTTTAGATCCCCATCGCTAACCTATGCTATCTGTATTAAGCAAGTCTCACTGCAGTTTGTGTCGAGATCTAATCTAGATCTAGATCTAGATAATGCTATAGTGTGTTGTTTTAAATAATAATAATACACCAAGTCACCAGACACATTGTTAACTGCTTAGAGATCTAAGACTAAATAAATCCAGGGCCAGTCATGTTTTTCTGTAAACTGTAGTTTTCTAGACTAGTGTGGAGATGACCCACCGCACGCTACACAGAATTTTTTACTAGTTGATCTCTTCAGTTTTATTTCATTGTACATACTATGATACTATCTTCATTGATCCCTTAGGTTATAGGTGCAATTGCTGGCCCAGGACCTTCGCAGTGAAGCAGATCCAGAGTCCCTGACAGCTGCTCTACAACAAGGTGATGCTGACCAGTCCAGTATTGCTGAAGGTAATGCCTCTCTCAGTGGAATTGAATAATAGATTAGGGCTACTACAATTAATATATTGATGCTAACACGTGCTTTAAATTTCTTGATTCATTTACTGTGGAGAAATATATATATATAATCAATCTTACATACTTTTTAGCTTTAATTATTCGACTTGAAAAGAACCATGAGAGATGCTGCACCAACTAACTTGTCCAGTATTGTTGAAGGTGGTGCCTCTCTCAATGAAATAATATACATGTAGTATTATGATTCAATATTCAATGTGATGCTAACTCTTGCTTTAAAAATTTTTAAAATTCATTTCCTAAGAAGAAATATCTGTTCTGAAAACATACTCTTTAATTATTTGACTTGAAAAGAACCAAGAGAGATGCTGCACTATGACAGTGATGATCTGTCACAAACTTGTTATCACATGAAGGTGAAGTTCTTAAACTGAGGAGGTCCATAGAAAAATACAGCTGTATTTACATATAATATAATCTACATAAAATATAAAACATATTTTATATGCAAAACGAAAACAAGAGATGACAGAAGAATGGTGGACTAAAATTCTGGCTTCTTGTTGCAACCTGTAAAGGGATCACAGAGCAAATTATTCTCAACTGGTGATCATTAAATTAATCACTGGTTTGTTTGAACTAATGACTAATGTAGTGATCATTTAAATGCAGTGGTGTACAACACTATAAATCTAACATTGTTCATCAAACAACTGCACACTTTTAAATCACTCTCTTTTAATTTCTGTATCTACAGACGAGGATGCTGCCTTAGGGGTGACCTTCACGGAGAACGTGACGTGACAGCCTTTGTGGTGCCAGAAGGTAAGGGTGTGGAGCTGCCAGCTTTGAAGGGCCTGAAGTGCTGCTACAAGCTCAATGATGGCCAGCCTTGCCACAGCCAGTTGGAATCAGCTGCTGTTGACGACCTACGTTTGTCTTTTGCTGGTATGACAAGGGAGGAGCATGACATTGTAGTGTTGTCTCAGATTTGCTGTGGCAGGCATGTGGGAGGCACTATTAAACATTCTAGAAAAATCAAAGACCGACAAGCGACAAGGACTACTTGTTATTTGTCTGGAATGTGATTTGTAGGGAATTTTTAAAAATATGTTCACAATATGGGCCAAGATAAGTTGAATGCCCTTATTGCCCACTTTAAGGCTGCTGGAATTGAGGCCAAGCAACATGAATCATAAAGAGGGCCCCAAAACATGCTCTGTCTTTTGAAGATACAAAAGCTGTGGTAGACTTCATTGTCAACTTTGCTGAGCTCCATGCTATTGTGATTCCAGGACGTCAGCCTGGCCACTGGAACACCAGTGTCAAACTGCTTCCTACAAATGTAAGGAAGAAGAAGGTGTATGATGCTTACTGTGCCTCTGCTGCTGTCAGTGACAGACGCATTGTAAGCTGGCAGACCTTCAATCGTTTATATGGAAGCAGTTGACACCGTTTGTCTCAACCATGCGCCCTGCAACTGATCTTTGTTGGTTTTGTAAGAAGAATTCAGGTCACCTCTTGCGTACAGCCAATCTGCCTGATGCGGAAAAAAGCCAAGCAGTTTTGGAAATGCAAGATCATTTAGAAAAGGCTTCTATAGAACGCTCCTATTATCAGCAGGTTTGTGAAGCCGTTAAAAATAGTTTGCCAGCTGGTACCACTCTTGGTCAAGAAGATAGGAGGAGCTGTTCTTTTGATGGGATGTCCCATTATAGCTTTGATTTTGCACAACGAGTGCACTACCCGAGCAACCCATTGCAGCCGGGTCCGATATTTTTCCAAACTCCAAGGAAGTGTGGCTTGTTTGGAGTAGCCTGTGAGGCAATACCTTGTCAGGTAAATTTTCTTTAAGAAGAATGTGTTTTAGCAGGTAAAGGTGCCAACTGTGTTGTGTCTCTTCTTCATTATTTTTTTGGACAATTTTGGCTTAGGAGAGAACCATGTCCATCTGCATGCTGATAACTGCAGTGGACAAAATAAAAATAACTGCATGATGCAGTATCTTGTGTGGAGAGTCCTCACAGGAAGACACATGAATATTAAACTGTCATTTCTTTGGACAGGACACACAAAGTTCAGTTGTGACTGGTGTTTTGGTCTTGTCAAACGCAGGTTTCGAGTGACCAAAGTTGACTGCCTGGAAGACATTGCTAATGTTGTCAATGAGTCTGCCACATGCAATGTCGCACAGTTATGTGAAACTGAGACAGGGGATGTTTTAGTGCCGGTATATGACTGAACCAAATTTCTCGGAATGTTTTTTAGAAAAATGATTGGAATTAAAAAATATCAACATTTTCAGTTCCAGCATGACAGCACATCGGTAAAATGTAAACAATTTGTTGATTCTGATCCAATTGATTTTGTTTATTGTCCAAAGCTCTTGATTTAATTTAATGCCAGAAATTGTTGTTCCTGCTGGACTTGATCCATCAAGGCAGTGGTATTTGTATGATGAAATCAGACCTTTTGTTAGTGAAGAGATGAAAGACAGAGTGACCCCTCTTCCAAAATGCCGAAAGCCTACCCAAGTGAGCATGCTTGAACATGACAGTGATGAGGAAGAGGGTCCATCAGAGCCGAAAGCCAGGAAGGGGGGAAAGGGGAAAGGGGTATCGACCATGGGCACGGGGAAGACAATGTAGGGTATTTTTGTTGAAGTTTTAAAGATTCATTGCGTACTCTATTTAAATTTCAACATGATTTTATTTCTATTCTTCTGACTATAACTGGTCATTGGACTTGCTGTGGTGAATTGATAACTTTCCTAATTTTGTTGTATTGTATGTTGGTTGTGAAGATGTGTTTTGGCAGCTTTGATCAGAAGTTTCCTGTTTCTGTCGGTTGTCATTTCCTTTGTTTTAGTGTAGGTGTTTTTGCACACCCGTGGACACAGGTAGGATAGTTTAGGAGGTGTGTTTAGGAGGTGTGTTTAGGAGGTGTGTTTAGGAGGTGTGTTTAGGAGGTGTGTTTCAACCTTGTCTGTCTGGGACAAAGTGGTTACTGGTTGTTTTGATATATGTAAATATGCTATTCTATACTGTTTTGGTTTTTTTCGATGAAAGCAGGTCTATATAATTAATATATTTCGTGTGTATGCATGGAAATGTAAAAATGTCAACGGATTTCTGTTGGAAAAATCTTGTGGACAAGAAGTACAAATAAATTATGTGTTTTATGTTCTAAAATCATCTGAACTTTGTTTGTTTGTTTGTTTGTTTGTTTGTTTGTTTGTTTGTTTGTTTGTTTGTTTGTTTGGTTTTGTGTTTAGATTGTCTTCCACTTAAAATGGTTACAATATGACGCGTTTTTTACGTAATTCAGTGATTTATTGTTGTAACTTAAAAACAGTCATAACTTCACATAGAAGAGAGGTATTTCAGTAAAATAAAAAGCAAACTGTCCACAAATGGCACCTCTATGCTGTGGTATCAGCATTATTTGCTTCTATGCCGTGTCATCATGGGAAATGTGTTCCCAAAGTGAGTAAAACTTTAAAATCTGTTTTCTTAGAATTTGACATTCGAAACCCTGTTCACTTTAAAATGCCATAACTTTTGGCAGAATGCTCCAATTGCACTCTAATAAAGTGCAAAATGCCCGGGAAAGATGTGTCTTTTATAATATATGCAAAAAAGTCAATTTTGTTCACCTTGAAGGGTTTTCTCAGAGCCGCACACAAAATATTAGATTTTACTTGCAGAAAAGACGTATCAAGTTATGTTAAATGTTACAATGTTACAATAAAGAATATCAAATAATTCAGACGTTACTTACAGTTCCAGTCAACAAGAAGTATAAGATAACGCAGATGTGACTGACTGCTAGACTGAGGAATGAACCAAGTGGACACGTACAAAGTCTCTCGCTCTCGCAGAGGGTGGTCTGTGTGCGTGGTCGCAGGGTGTGCTCGGGACTGACACAAGTGGGGACTCAGGGCTAAGTGGGAGCGGAGGTTTGGGCTGGTGTGGTCTGCACTAGAGAGGGTTGCTTCACCAGAGTGAGTGCTTGTCCTCTCCTCTCAGCTGCTTTTAAGTACACTGCGGGGGGAAAGAGGATCTGTCAGACGACCATATCCTGGACCCATCATAAATCATCGTCATTATCATCATCATCATCATCATCATCATCATCATCATCATCATCATCATCATCATTGATGACAAATAGGCTACTGTCCCTACCACAAAAATCACTTTGACTTGTCACTTATTGCAACAGAGTTTCTGTTTGTGGTAGACTGTATATTGTGATGCTAAGATACACTGTACAAAATTATACCAAATTCGGGAGAAGCATTATGGTGTTATTACGCCTTCAATGACGTCACATATCACATAATTTACACACGATAAGTAATACTTAACACTATCCGTACGCTCTGGGGTCATTTTGTACCCCCGGGTTGTATTCTTCACATTTTAGAATTCTTCTAGTACGAAAATCTCTTTGAAACTTTTAAGTATTTCTATTTTTAAAAAAGAGTAGCCCCATCGTGTGGAATCCCATGGTAAAGCATTACATCTTGTCTCTTTAATTACACAGCTACATTTGAGGTAATGTATGACCAGAGCGAGCCATTTGCAGATATCGTAAAGTTACATTAAGTATGACGCTCAGTCATTAAGACAAAATATAATTAGATTAAAGACACTATTTTAGGTTTTAGACAATTGGGTGAAAGGACAGTTGCAAACAACAACGAACTGAATCTTCGTTTGAGAGAAGAAATAGAATCAAACTGTGGCAAACACTTGGAGAGTACAGCATCAGGGGACAACTGTTGAACAACATCAGAGCCATCTATACCTACAGTATGAGCACTGTCTGCACCAGAACGGACTCATTGACTGGTCCACGTGTCGTCTGGAGTGAGACAAGGGTGTGTGTTATCAACGCATCTATTTATAATACATATGAACAAAATTACAAAAGAAGCAAAAATCTACCCGGTAAACCTGAATGAAATGCAGTTTTCGGACGACCAAAGCCTGGCCTTTGAGAAAGAAGAGCAATTTCAAGAGCACACAGACAGGCTGAATACACAATGTGAAAACTCAACATGAAGATTAGTAAAAGCATCCAAGCTGGGATGTTTTTTTCCAAGTAGAAATAGATGTTATGAGCATGTTCTTCAGCATAATGTGCTAACAGAACGAGCAGATCTGTATCTTCTCCTATTGCAGCGGTATCTTTGAGCTGCTCACACTTGATGATTTCTGTTTGGGCAATCTTAAGGTCAGCGTCACATTTGCTGAAAATGACAAAGTGTCCTCTGTCTTCAAGCACTGACCCGAGGGCATTGATAAAACGATGCTTATTTTCTTTTTTGACAAGAAAAAGATCCTTTGAAGATTGGAGAACCATGTCTGACTTAAAATGAACAGCTTGTCCTGTAATTCCCTTGGCTCTTCTGAGCTGTGTCATATCTTTTGTCGACGGTCCAGACAAATATCCATCAAAAACAATGGTTGCGTTTGGATAATTCCTGCTGACAGAAGCGTATTATGTCTCGATAATACTAATGAAGGTGCTCCCTCGTTGCCAGGGAAGGCGCTGCATAAAAGACCCTCCATCAAACGACGATCTGCAGGTCAGCTGGTGATGACAGATCGGGCGTAACCATTGTCCTTGATTCTCAAAGTTCTTCCAACAGAGCTGATTTGTTGGACTGATGAAGGAATCAGTCGGGAAGAGGAGAAGAAGAGAAAACAACAACAACTTCCAGGACTGGGATTCGAACCCACCCACGCTCATAAAAGATAGTTTGGCTTCATACGCAGACGCACTGTCCATTCGGCCATCAGAACTCCCGTCAAAGAAATGTAGATTAAGCGTTATATTTAACACACGGCGACGCGTCGTTTTATTTAGCACTGGCGCTAATCGCAACGCGGCGTTGCAAATAGGCACTTCCTAAAAGGTATGCCAGGGATAGACTCTAGCCTCTACGTAATTCTTTTAAAAAGACAGTCTTGTCTAGACCTATATTTATGTCTCTATAGATCTACACACCAGAAACATTGCCGAAAATGTAAGTAAATAAACACATTTCTCCCGTGTCTGTGCTGTCTGTTGTTCTCGTCATCATGACACATTGTGACACATTGGGCTAAAAATAGGTTACGCCTATCTCCAGACGGTCAGACAACGGGTAGTGCAGACAGAAGTGAGAGTGAGAGGCTGGATTAAACGTGTCCCAAACAACGGCATGTACGGTGTATTATTTCTTTAACACACACAAACGTACACACACACGCACACACACACACACACA